AAACAAAAGTTTACTGTTGTTAATTGGCATAAGTTCACTAGAAAATGTAAAGCTATTTGAAATTTTATACTTTTTACAAACTGAAGGTGAAAGAGACTTTGCCCAAACCAGTTACTCTTCACAGTGCAGAAAATAAGTAAAAACTGACAATTTAATAAGTTTTTATGATCACACAGCCTTCCCATTGGAAAAACTGGTTTGTTATGTAGTTCAATAAACTTTTTTTGCAAATGGGCAAGAGTAGTTTACACAGTGCTTTCAGTGCGAAAGTTTAACTAGCTCTACATATAAAGAAACTTCCATAGGAAGCTATGCAATTTAACTCTTGCTTTCCCATTTTCTACAATAAATGGAATATCTTCACACTGAATGCAAATCATTAAGAACCCAAAAGTTAAAATCTCAACTCACACAGAAGTGATCCCCCAAACTTGCTCAAATGTTACAAAGAGACAGAGAAAACACAGGCATGAACTCTCCCCCACTTCTGCTTCTCTCCATTCTACTGGGTTGTTAAGTTCTCAATAGTGTTGTGAATTCTTTTTAAACAGCAGCAAGAGCTCACAGATCTAAATAAAATTAATAACTGCCTCTTTCAGCTAGAAGAAAGAACACACAAAAATATGATACACTTATATTTTCACTTCTATTTACTCTACTTTTTCATAATGCAGGAATGGACTCTCATGTGGGGAAAAGATGCCCATATCGCAGATCTTTTTTCCATCCCACAACAAAGAGAGGACATTAGAATTAGGTTAGAAAAAAGACCATGTTGGAAATATTTCAAGTTAGGTACAAGTCCCTTGGCACAAAACAGTCCAGAAATATTAGAAAACAATGGTAATCCACATCTATTTCTAATTTGATTCAAATTTTCCTAGGAAGAGAGAGAAAACTCATTCAAAGAACATCCCAGACATTTAAAGAAGCCAAGAAAATGAGATGTTCTTGCACAATCAATAAGAGTCTTCTCTTGTACTATTAGGTATTTCAGGCTCTAGAATCCGTACTCTCTACACAAAAACATACCGTTAAAAGAAGGAAGTGGAATTAGTTGGGAATGTACAAGCTGCTACAGTAAGAACTGTAGCAGCAGAGATACTTTGCTTTTGATGCTCTAGAGTTTTAATGTTTATGATCAAATCTGTACCCCATGGCTGTGACTTTAGGTGCATTTTTTAAAACCACTGGAAGCATTGCAGTTTGTACTGTTGTAAGAGAAAAGAGAGGTTACTTACCTGTAACCATGGTTCTTCAAGTGGTCATCTGTGAATTCACACAAAAGGGTTAACCCAGCGCCAGTGTTGGTCCTCTCGGAACATTCTCGAGCTTTAAGAGAAAAGTAACAAAGTTTAAGGCTGCCTATACTGTGCATGCTCTGCCTGCCCAAGCCTCAGTTCCATTTATCCGCCACAGGTACCTGAGCATGAGCTAGATACAGCCAGTGACAGATATAGGGGAGGCAGGGCGGGATTGTGTGAATTCACAGATGACCACTTGAAGAACCATGGTTACAGGTAAGTAATCTCTCTTTCTTCATCGTGGTCTTCTGTGAATGCACACAAAAGGGTGATTAGCACACTTACTCATGGGACAGTGGGCTGTCACTGGAGGACAGACATCAACACTGCTCTCCCGAAACTTGTCTCCTTCTTGGCCCTCAGGTCTAGTCTGTAGTGGGTGATGAAGGTGGAGACATTAGACCAAGTGGCAGTCCTGCAGATGTCAGGCACATCAACACCACGTAGTAGGGCAGTAGAAGCTACAGCTCTGGTGGAATGAGCCCGAAGTCCTTCAGGTGGAGACTTATGCTGAAGCTCATAAGCGAGCGAAATTGTGGAGACAAGCCATCTGGAGAGGGTTGAAGACGATGCTGGGAGACCTTTCTTTTTCCCAAAGTAGCAGAGGAAAAGTCTGTTGGATGACCTAAAGTCCTTGGTTCTAGAAACATAGAAGGCCAGAGCCCTCCTGACATCAAGGGTATGGAGCATGCACTCGGTGTCATTTGCAGGCTCAGAGAACAGAGTGGGCAACAGTAAAGGTTGGTTGAGGTGAAAGTCCGATACAACCTTTGGGAGAAAGGAGACATCAGGGTGCAGCAGCACCTTATCTTTGAAAAACTGTAGGAAAGGTTGGTCAGAACGAAGGGCAGCAAGTTCACTTGC